TCAATAATCTGGCGCAGGGCAAATATATGGTCAGAGGTGCTTCGACCGGGCCGGAAGCCACACTGCCCTTGCATCTTGTTGTCAGCTATTTCACGACACTTCCTTACTAACACCTTTGCGTAGACTTTATCTGGGAGGCTCAATAACGCTATGACCTTATAATTGGAGCATTCCTTGTGGTCTCCCTTCTTGAATACGGGTGCAATAACTCCCGTTCTCCAGTCTGCTGGTGCCTTTCCCGCAGTCATCGCAGTTTCACAGACACGTATTAGCCAGCACATGCCTTGTTCGCTTAATTCCTTGAGCATCTCAGGGCGGATTTCATCAATTCCAGCAGCTTTTCCATTTTTCACGCTTTTCACAGCTTGTGTAATTTCATCTACATAGATAATAATATCCATACCCTTCTGCTCTAGAGGCGAGCCTTCCTTTGGTTGCGCGGGGTTAAGGAGTTCCTCAAAGAAGTTCCTCCATCGCCGAAGAGTATCATCATCCTTAGTAAGAGGATGTCCAGACTTGTCCTACAAGATTCTGAGACTGCCCTTCTTTTCACCTCGGAGCCACGCGGATGATCTGCCAGAATTCTTTGTTTGCCGTGTCGAAATTCGACTATAACAGCTCCGAACTTCTCCCAGGAACCAGCTTTGGCTTTCGCCATTGCTTTGGCTGCCGACTTGCGTGCCTCGACACATCGCACGGGAGTGCAAGGCTCTTTTTCTCCAAGGTATTTCTTGAAGACTGGTTTATTCTCTTTAACTATCAGTTGTACCTTTCATATTCGCCATGAAGATCTTTTCTGACCTCCAGGCGGCAGGCAAACAGGTTTATATCCGCAAATTCTGCCGCAGCCTCCAGTATGCCGCTCTTAAAGAGCTGCCACTCGGTTTCAGTATCAGTTGTCATCTTTGGGATCTGTTCAAACCGTCGTGCGATGTTGTTTGCAAATTTCGCTCTCGTGTCCACCGAGGATAATGTATATTTCCGATTTGATTCTCGGGTTGCTTCTGCCACCAGATCTTCGTATGGTACTCCATTTCTTACAGCGCAGCGTGCCAACAACAAGGTGATGATCGGCTGATAGCTGTGCGCCTCTCTTAACGCGAACAGCCATTACCGAGCGTCTTAAGTGAGACGATACGATTATCAAATAGATCATCGACTTCTGTGCACGAGTTTCTCCGTACCAGGTGTACTGATGCACCTTTCGATGTTCGAAGAAGGTGTTCATAATGGACAACCCGTTGTTTGCACAAAACCGCAACAACTTCATGCCGTTATTGTTGAGGTCGCTAGGGCCGTTTTTTCCAATCAGGCCGTTCCACTTTTCAGTGCATTAAAATCGCCCATCAGTAGGAGGAATTCTATATTCGGCACTTCGGACAGAGCACGCTGCACTTCCTCAAGGAAGGTCTCATATTCTCCCTCCTAATTGGGCACATAGACCTGTAGCAAGGTCATCGATTTAGCCTGTTGTAGCTTCAGTCGGAGGATTACCACCCTTCCGCT